GACCGCGAAAGTTTTCTGTTTAGAATTCCATCAGAAATGGCAAAAGAAAAGAGTTGTACCAAAGATATTGAAAAATGCTATTCATCCACGGTGGGAATGCATCCCCAATCTATGTGAATGTAAATGATTGGTGACATGAAATGACTTATTTAATTTCACATATCATTTAATGCCACATTAACGCCACATAGACTGGGGATGCATCCCAACTGAGAATGAATAGCATTTCTCAAAGATATTGGTGTTGTTAGGAAATATAATAGGGTTATTTTGTTTCATTATTTATTAAGGGTAGAATAGTCTTTTAACTTTTCTTTATTTAGCCTATATATAGTTTCTTTTTATCTAAGTTAAATTATCTTTTTGTATTCAATTGCTTGATGTAGAATCAATGAAACCCTAGACTCCTCTTTTTTTCTTTTCTTTTTTTCTTTGAATTGTTTTAACATGGTATCATAAATAAATTTCATGGGATAAGGTTTAATCTCAAACACAGTCTTTGCGGATCCAACTGGTATTTCGAAACGAGACGATTTCGAGAGAGTTTTCATTCAATTTCTACAATATGATATTTTGTTTTCCTTTTTTTGCGATCTAATTTTCCTTATTTTTTTTTAGTATGGCTACTGAAAGAGACGATTCGCTTCAGTTTGTGAGTGTGAGGTTTGACAAAAAGAATTATTCGTATTGGTACGACACAACAGCGTCAACGTTGCTGCAATGGAGGTGGGTGGGTGGACCAAAACGGAAGCGTCGATCTGTGGATGTGGGGGTGTCGATCTATGGGTTGGGTGGGTGGACCAAAATGGCAGCGTCGATCTATTGCAGGTGGAGGTTGCGATCGCCACAACGAGAAAATCTCTCAGATTGCTCCAGCATGCGGAGGTGGTGGCTGTCGGGTTTTGATGTGCTTGTGATTGACGGTGGTTGCGGTGGCAGTCCGTGTGGTGGCACTGTGGTGCGGTCATTTTTTGTTATTGTTGTGGTGACGATTGTGTGGTGTTGTGGCGGAGTCGACGGCGATGTTGGTGTTTTTCTTGGTGTGGTGGTGCAGGTGGTGATGTGATGGTTAGTTTTTGTTATTATTATGATTGTGGTTATGGTGGTGTTGTGACGGGGTGACGATGGTGGTGTTGTTCAGGCGGCGATGATGGTGTTATTGTTGGTGGGTGTTTTAGGGATTAGGGTCGGGGGCGAATGAAACAAAGTGTCTTGGCCAACTATTTGGTCGTCTGTGACCTGTGACTAAGTATTGGTGGTGTTTGGGATTGGGGGACGAGTGTTTGGGTGTATGTGACCAACCATATCGATCCATGACCAATTATATAGTTCTAGTTAACTGTAACATTAAAATTTATTAATCTATGACTCAA